TGTGGTTCCACACCAGGAGGTCCCTTAGGCTTGCGGCAGGTTTCCAGGCTTCAGATGACCCTCTTTGGGTGGGCTCTTGCTCAGGAGGAGGTGGGTAGATTTGGGTGTTTTATTGAGAAAATTCTTAGGAACTTTAATGACTTGCTTCTCTCTCTATGCACACTAATTCCATCAAAGTCCTTTCACTGAAAATCTGTCTTTGTCTTTACATGGTGGATATCAGGAACTCCTTTCAGAGAGTGCACCCCGTTTGATTGGGGTCCCTGGGTGCCCTCTGGTCATGTGCTAACATTACTAAGCTAAAAATACAGATAAAATGTCACCTGCTCCTCACTTAACTGCTACCTCGGACAACTCATCGATATTTTATTAAAAATAATAATTTTAAACAAACAAACCATTAAGAGTGAACGTAAACACAGAGACCTTCCTGTGGAGGGCGCCATCTTAAGTGCTGTATAGGTCTCACACTGAGGCCTCACACTGAGGCCTGAGGGGGCTGGGCTGGAGGTCAACAGGATTCGAACATCCTGGGTCAGGCACTGTATGGGTGAACATGCTCGACAGTCCGCTGGGCAGAGAGGATGTCCTGAATGAACTCCACAAAGTCAGGTGTTCTGGCCCCACCCCAACCCAGGTCAAAGAGATCCAAGGCACCAAGGACCGCAGCCCCATGATGTCATCACCACCGACGGGAGGATGCTGGGAACTGAGGGTGGAGTTATGCAGCCAGGCTTGGTGTCTGACCAGACATGTGGGCCTGGTGGCGATCTTTGGTTTTCCACTGCCTTACAGTGTGCTACTGTCTCTCCCTCTACTCCCTGGGTTATTCCTCTCCTCATTATCAGTTTTTTTTTTTTTTTTTTTTTTTGGTAAATAAGCCCTTCATTAACCTTTTATTTGTGTGCCTACAATTAAGTCTCATTATAAGTCCCTTTTAGGACACCTGCACCCCATGTTTATTGCTCCACTATTTACAATAGGGAAAATGTGGAATCAACCCAAATGCCCAAAAATAGATGGCTGGATTAAGAAGATGTGGTACATATACACAATGGAATATTATGCAGCAATCAAAAAGATAAACTCATGCCTTTTGCAGCAATGTGCATGGAGCTGGAAGGGGTCATGTTTAGAGAAATAAGCCAGAAAGAAAAGAAAAAATACTGGATGGTTTCACTCATAGCAGGAGCATAAGGGATCAGGGGGAAAAAAGAGAGAGAAACAAATGTAATAGAGTAAAAAGGAAAACAATGAACAACTATAAACCAGAGACATCTTATGGGGGTGGGAGGGGAATGAGATTGGAACTGGGGTGGGAAGAGTGCTCAGAACTGTGGTGATGGCACAGGGGTGAATTGGGGGTGGGAAGCCCATGGGGATTACAACTGAGATGGAAAATGCACAAAAATAAGTCCTTTTTAAGTGCACAGGTGAGGACCCTCTGTCAGGCAATCCCGTTTCCTGCTGGGGTTGCCTTGTAACGTGTCCTCAAGGAGTTTATAATTTAGGGCGAGAAACAGGCATATGAGCAGGACAACACAAGAAAATGAGAGTATTTATAGCAGAATAAAGACTCACATGTTCAAGCACTACTTCTTTGCTATTTCCCACTAGTTTAAAATATATTTTACAGGGCCCTCCCTGATGGCACAAGGGGTTAAAGCGCAGCACTATGAAGCTATTGGCAGCCACTTCTGCAGGAGTTTGATCCCCAGCCAGGGAGGTGACCCACAGGTCGCAGCAGACCTCTTCTGTCTCCCTGATGCTCCCCTCAGAAGTTTTGTAGATCTGCCTGTTCAGCTCCCCACTCTATCTCCGGTGAATCCTCTCACCCCTCCCCCACAATCTGGCCAGTACCCCAGTTCTTATATGCATAAATAAATAAATATTAAAATATATATATATATATTTTACATATGTATGTATATATATGTATATTATGTATATGAAAAGCACATACCTTTTTTCTATATGTGTGTGAGATAAAACTCAAGACTGTTCATAGACTTTCCCCATCCCCCCCACTGGCCCAGTGAATGAGCTAATCCTGTAATTGTCCACTTTCCTCTATCTTTTCATCCAGCCCCAGAGTTTAGGCCGGTTCTGTTCAACAAGTTTCTCTGCTTTTGTGATGCAGATGCAGGCTCTGGGCAGAGGACAGAGGAAGGAGGGGGAGACTCAGCTCAAAAGGTTAAGACAATTTACATGATAATGTGCTGGAGGGTGAGGAGGAAGGAAGGGAGGGGGAAAGAAAGCTTGGGGGGTAAAGAGGGGGAGGACTCGAAGGAGAGTTGAGGGGACAGAGAACAGATGCAGAAAGGAAAAGAGGGAGGGGGAGAGAGGGGGACATCTAATAATTTGCAGAGAGGAGGAAGATTAGAGAAGGGAAGCCTTGCAGGCCAGGGATAGGGTAACTCAACTCCGGGAGATGAGCAGAGAGGAAGCGTCTGGAGAGCAGCCATGGGGACAGGGCATCAGGTCACCAAAAGCCGGCCAGCTGTAGGCGCAGTTAACTGGAGTGTCTCTCACCCCTGGGTGCAGTTCACAGGGAACAGTTTTCTGGTCCCTGATCAGGCCTTGACATATGCTGGTAGCTCTGTGGCCGGCTCCTTTTCAGTCAAGTTTCATCACAAAAGCCCCTTCCAGTTTCCAGGGAATCTTTCCTGGCCACCCAGCCAGAGCAGCAGCCCCAGCCCCTGGGCCCTGCAGTCAGCCTGTCACACCACCCGCTTTCCAGCTTGACCACTGTCAAGACTGCAGTCACGGGTTTGTAGCTGTGCCTGCTCTCTGTTCCGTGAGGAGTCAGGAGCACAGGGAAGAGAAAGGGCTGAAGGGAGGGTGTCCTTGGTTCCCAGCTGCCTCCCCATCCCAGCGGCCCTTTGGGCCTGTGCTCTATCCATCAGGAGGGAGGAAATGGACTGCACTTCTCTGGCTCCCCGGGTCCGTGGGCTTGGGGCCACGCTCACCTCGCAGTCTGCAAGACCAGCCAGCGGCTCCCGGGAAACAGGGGCTCCAGCTGCCTGGCTTACTTTGGCCTGGTCTGGGTCAGTTTTCCTTTCCTGCTCCTCAGCGGTGAACTAACAGGGGAGAAGGCGCCTGAGGGAAAGGAGGTCTTGCCTGTCCGGCAGGTCAGTGTGCCCTGGAAGCCTCAAGCCTCCGCCACCTTCATCACAGGGCTGGGCTCTGACTGGGTGCCTGGCGGAGCCCCAGCCCCCTCTCGGCCTCTCTTTCCAGTGGAGCCTTCCCCGACCTTCCACTCAAGGGCAGTCTAGACCGGGAAATCCCACAGAGGACAAACAGTTCCAGAGGCCCAGGGCCCAGCAGAGAAATCCTTAACTGTCGCTACTCAGGTCCTGAGCAACTGCCTCACTATTCAGGATAAGAACATGGACAGAGTTCCACAGGAAGAAACAGTGTTTTCCAAAACGGAAGGAGGATTACAGCTTTCTGGGCTGTAATCAGGGCAGGGGTTTTGGAAAGGAAGTTGGGTGGTTGAGATGGCCTGGCGTCTGTGGATACACGCCCTGAATGGCCACAGGGGCCCTTTGCCTGTGTCTGTCATCTGACTCTGGCCTCCGTGCTCCCTCCTTGGCCAAAGGGAGCGGAAGGGACCAAGGGCCTGTGGCAGACGCCATGTCTGAAATCAGGGCCGTGTCCCGCTCTGGCTTTGAGGCCTGAGTTAACTGGAAGGAGTGAGTCCACACAAAGTGCTTAACGCTGCGCCTGGCAGATCCATAAACGACAGAGTGGAAATGAGAGACACGTAGCAACCACCTCGGCTAGTTCAGCTGGTTCCTCCCGGGCTGCTCCCTCCCACTGTGCTCTGTCTCCTCAGTGGCAGCACCCCTACGATCACACCGGAAGCACCAGATTGTCACACCGGAAACAGCTGATCGTCACACCGGAAGCACCCAGTCGCCATACCGGAAGCCCTCATTGAACGTTTAATGGAAGCAAGAATGAAGAAGCAGCGCCGCCCCCCCACCTTCGCCCCCCACTTTCTGCCACCTGCTCTGACTCTATGAGGAAACCCCTCAGGAGAAGCGCCTCCTTTGTAGAACCAGACGAGGCCTCCTGGCCCAGCCCAGACAGCCCTCCACAGATTCCCAGGTCTGCGCGGGGCCAGTGTCTGAGTGGGACCAACCCTGCCCCCACGAAATTAGGGTTTTGTGCAGGAAATAATGACTTTGACATTTAGAGCTATCTGCCCGGGTGATTTATCAGACCCAGAGCAGGCAAGGATAGTTCTCCTCTGTGAGGGAGCTGATCTGTGCTGAGCACAGGATGTGTCTAGAACACACGGAATTACGAACACACGGAATTAACACGTAAGCAGAGACGGTGTCGCCCAACCCGAGCTTCCCGTGCAGGGCCCTGGTACCCAGAGGCTGCTGCCTGCTGCCCTTCTCCGGGGTCCAGGGTCCAGGACACAGGGGCAGGTCGCTGGGACGCAGAATCCAACCAGGGGACATCTCTGTCCCCACTTTCGATACAATTCTCTGAGACTGTTTGCCTCTCTGCTCCTTCCCTTTTATTTAGTTGAGCCTAGGTAGCTGTATATATAGTTCAGTCTCAGAGTTAAGGCAAATGTTTGCAAATAAGAGGTTTTTATAGACTTAATCATTCACCACTTATTAAGACAGCTGGCAACCAAGTGAAACACAGCCATGTCAACTTCCCACAGAAAAGAGGGCCCGAGGCCCTCCGACCCACAGCAGATACACCTGTGGGGCAAAGGAGCAAGAGCCCTCTCTGACGCCACCCCTCCCAGCAAGGCAAGAGCCCTCTCTGACGCCACCCCTCCCACGCCTGTGGGGTGGGGTGGGGTGGGGGTGGGGGGGACGGGCACCAGCAGGGCTCATGGGGCTTGTCCCCCAGAAGATCTGTTTGACTGTGTCTGGCAGTCTGTGGCCGCCCGGTCCTCTCTCCTTCCCCTAGGGGAGCCTGGCACCATCTGAAGGACACAGGTTCGCTCCGGACACAGGCTCAGGGCCTACCTTTCTCTCCTTGTCACCATATTCGATGCCCAAAGTGTCCATGGCCCGGACAATGGCTGCCAGGGACTGGATGGTGTTGCTGTAGACCACAGGCTTGTACTGTTTCACGTCTTCGCCAGAGAAGCCATCTTCGTGGATGATCCTAGAGAAAACCACACACAGCACAGCTGATGAGTGCACTGTTTGAGGGACCAGGAGGGAGCAGCCCTAGGGCCCACTTTCGGTTTAACCCCAAGTTCTCAATAAACGTTAGTATTCTGCTAAAATATGTAGCCAGAGGTTTACTGCTGGGACTCCCATAGGGACCTACAAGTGGATAGCACATTTTCACCCATAGACAACTCAGTGTTATTTTTTTAAGATTTTATTTATTTATTTTAGCACAGGAGAACCAGGGTGCAGGCCAGAGGTGCAGAGGGGAGTGAGAGGATTCACTGGAGACAGAGTGGGAAGCAGAACAGGTGGATCTACTGAAATACACTGAAAAGGGAGCAGCAGGAGAAACAGGAGAGGTTGCTGCGCCATGTGGGATCCAACGCAGGCATTTGGTGTGGTCCCTCATGGTGGCAGCACTGAGACTTAACCCCTAGGCCACCAAGGAGGCCCCCAAACTCAGTGGTTTTAACAAAGGCCAGACAACTTATTTAAACTAAGTCAATTTCATCTTTGACAACACAAACATCAACAGAAGGTCTCTGTCGGCTCTTGACTACCAGGTCACCCTTTTTCTGGTGGTTCATCAGTGACAGTGTTAAGGGTTGCCCTGTAACACCAGGACCAAAGGAGACCCCACCATTGGCAGAGACCACATCTCCTGTTGTCAGGTGTCTCTGAGCTCCGGTTAAGGTTAGACATGCCTTAAGGTCCCTTCTCTCTGCAGCTGATGGTCACTCAAGAAATGCTCATTGCTGACAAGAGCTGGAAGTAGTGAAAGAGGATAAATGTGGGCCTCCCTGGTGGTGCACCAGGTTAAACTGCAGCACTACGAAGCTTTCCACAGCCACTGCAGCCTGGGTTCCATCCCCAGCCAGAGAGGTGACCCACATGGCACAGCAGACCTCTCCCGACCTGCCCACTGCCCTCAGCAGTGGATTTCAGTGGATCTGTCTGTTCTGCTCCCCACTGTATCTCTGGTGAATCCTTTCACACACACCCTCCCCCCCCCACACCTCTGGCCTGTACCCCAGTTCTTGTATACATAAGTAAATAAAATCTTAAAAAAAAAATAAAAGAAAGAGGATAAATGGGAACTTTGCAAGAACCCTTTAATAGTAGAACTAATTAAGAAAGACTGAGAAAATGGGTTTTAAGACTAACAGCCAACATTAGTCATCCCCCAATAACTGTGTAAACAACTCTGTGGTCACATTATCAGCCCAAGATTGAAGTTCCTTGTACTATCTTCATTTAACAATACAACAGCCGAGACTTCTCCACTTCACACCGCCCTTTCCATTCCCTTAGAACAGGAGAAAATGGCCAACAATTATTTTTTTAAAAGACAGTTTTATTGAGATATAATTCACACACCATACAACCTACCCATTTAAAGTGGAGAGTCAGTGTTGCTTAGTATAATTACTAGTTTGGGCAAATATCACCACAATTCAGTTTTCGAACATTTTGTCTCCCTCCCTCTCCCTGCACCCCAGTGCCCATTAGCACATTAGTATCTCTCACCCCAGCAGTAAACAACCACTAATCTGCACTCTGTTTTGATAGAGTTGTCTGTTCTGGACATTTCATATAAATGGAACCAGCCAAAAGCTGGTCCTTTGTGACTGGTTTATTCCACATAGCGTGACAATTTTCACGGTTCGTGTTGAGTTTGGCGTGGATGTGCCACGGTTTTCTCTAGCTATAAATCAGGTGATGGACACTAACGATTCCTCTGGTCAACAGAGGTAGATCTTTATGTTCTCAAGGAAGCTCATCAGCAAGACCCCACCACTCCTCAGTGCCCCTCTGAGCCCATGTTTCATTAGTCCCTTGAAGGAGTGCATGTCTAGTCCCCACGGCAGGTGCCTTGCCCCAGAGGCTGCTGCTGGACCCATTGCAAACAGCGAAAGAACTGGACAAGATACAGGAGACCAGTACTTTTAGACACTGGAGAAAACAGCAGGACCAGAAGCCCAGAGAGCAGGGAAACAGGAGGTAAGTCCTGGGTGTTCCCACCTGGGGGTGTTTATCAGGTTAAGAGCAGGAGGGAGAACCCAGGTAAGCTGGGAAGGTCAGCACTCAGGAGGCTGAGAAGTGGAAGAAGAGAAAACTACACACACACACACACACACACACACACACACACACACATGGGCTAGGAGAGAGAGAGGGAGAGAGGGAGAGAGAGAGGCAGAGAGAGAGGGAGAGAGAGAGGGAGAGACACTGACTCAGAGATGCCCTTGAGTCTCTGACTGGGCAGAGTGACACTTCACAAGCCCCTTAAGGAAGGCGTATTGGGAAGTTTGTAAGTCAAACATTTCCCAAAGTTCACTTAACTTTGGGAAATGTTCAAAGCGGAGAGACCTTGCTGAACCCTAGGACATTACGCAGAGACCCCAGAATCTCATGCCTTGCTAGTAAGACTGAACTCGACCTGCCCCATCAGACTTTAAAATAAACTTAAAAAAAAAAAAAATCCAGCTGACTCACAAGTAATTTCATTGCCTGAACGAATAAAGTCCAACACTCTTTAAATGAAGACAACAAAATCCAGACACTTAATAATATAATATTTGGAATTCCTGGCATCCAAGAAAAACTTCCTGGATGCGCATGGAGGGGGGTGAGGGCGGGGGTGGGGGGGGCCTTGACCTCACACCAGAAAAGCCTGCTGTGGCCACAGACTCCACAGCTGCAGAGGGGCTGGAAGGAACAAATATGAATTTGAAAGCGCCTACTGAAGTATTTTGAGAAATTAAAGGAAAACATGAACATAACAAGGAGAGAGATGAACAACAAGAAAAAACAAAGTGGTATAGCTAAAGATGAACATAAAATACGTGAAGTGAAAATTTCACTGTATGGGATAAATAGACTAGACACAGGAGATTTGTGGACTGAGAGGTACAGGAATGGGTACTGTACCGACTGAGGGCAAAAGAGGAGAAACGCACTGTGATTTCTACTCCATATACATAAGTAAGGCCCATAGGTCCGTGGGATAGAGGTGGGGAGATGGGGATCTACTGCTGGAAGAGTCTTTATATATAT